TTAAAAAGTTAAATATTTTTTGTTTATACTTAAGTTACATTAGACAAGTAAATGAATCCTTTAGGAATTTAACAATAAGACATGATTTCATAAAAATAATAATTAAAGCTTTAATTCAAGCAACAATAAAAAATGTGTACAAATAAAAAATGCGAGCTGATATCTAGCAAAAACTATAACATGAATTAGAAAGAATATAGACATTTATGTTTCTTCTATTATAAAGAAGTATACACATACGCCAAGTAAGTCCACAAATCACGCAATACTAGACAAAAGCAAAAATACATTAAAATTTTAAATATTGAAAAGCTCAATATTATAGTTTGCATCAACACTATAAAAGAATTGACAGTAGCCTAATCCTTATAGTTATGTTTGTTTGTCGGCAGTTAACCATCGAAGTTGCATTTTTCTCGACATAATTACAGTTTCGCAAAACAGGTAATTAGGCGGGGATAATCCGGGTAAAAGCGTGAGGACAAAGGCTGGGATAAGCTTCAGGTCGGATAGGCCCGGTGCTCATCGGAGGGTTATTAACAAAAGCGACTCCAATAATAACATCGGAAAGTCGGTAGCTTCTTGCTTTTAAAATTGAGATGGTATAAAAAGTTTTCTATTGATTGTATTTCAATAGATCTGACTGGACTTTAATAGTTTTTTTTTTAGTTTTGCGGTGTGCTGACTGCCATTGTATTCGTAAATACCTTACAAGCAGCTTTTTAATAACAAACAATATTTATATCATTACTGATATTCATACAAATAAAAGTATATAAAAACAATTTAGTTTGTAAATGTAAACTTTTGGTTTTCGTTAAAAAAACAAAAAATTATTTAAAAAATGTTTTTAATCTCTAAGCGTTATCATTCCATATCAATATTTCATAATTTTCGACGACTTTATTGATTGAAAATCTATCTCGTACAATCCTAGTAATTTATTCATTAATTCGTAAATAGACAAACAAAAGGAAAGATGTATTAACGAGCATTGTGCACCAAACATGAAAAAAGATGCTTGTGGAAAAAAACTTACATTTTTATCTGTCGAGTATCGATGACTTCCGGTTTATCGGTAGAGCTAAGCTCCGCAATAACACAAATTCTAAACTTAAGTTTTAGTGTCCCGTACGACCGTACAAACACTAACCAAATGAGGATGTGAACAATCGAAAAATTTACTATTATAGATAAAGCTTCTTGATTTCATATACATTCTAAGAATTATTATTAAATAAAAAAGAAATGTTTATTATTATGCCAAAGTTTTATTTACACTAATAAACTATCAAACAGTGCCGCCAACATTAGTTTAGAAGTGATTATAATATTTATTCGATATTGAGATGAGGATGTTTAGATATGAATCATGTATGTAGATGTCATCGATAGATTATTTACCTGTATTTAATTACTTTAACATTTAAACACCTAGGCTAATATTAAAATAATTATATCTAAATCTAATGACAAAGGCAATACAACCTTGCTATGACAAAATAACCCATGTAATACATAACTTTTATGTCCTATATATACTTACTAGCTGTCGCCCGCGGTTATTTTATCCCGTGCGGTCGGCCGCACAGGATAAAATAGCCGATTCTCAGACCTACTAAATTTAAATTATAGTTTTTGAGCATCGGTGGCCAGGGGTCAAGCACTTGACTTGCAATCTGCAGGTCCTGGGTTCGAATCCCGCCAGGTACCAATGTGTATTCCGATTTACATGTGTACATCTATCCGACGTTCTTACGGTGAAGGAAAACATCGTGATGCAACCTGCACATATCTGAGAAGAAATTCAAAGATGTGTGTGAAGTCAACCAACCCGCACTTGGCCTGCGTGGTTGACTATGGCCTGATCACCCTTAATTTAGGGTAGCTCCTCGGTGGCGACGTATAGTGAGCTGATGATGATCAAAAAAGTTTATAAAAGAGGAGTATAGTGACTAACATTGTGACACGAGAATTTTATGTAATATATATCTACAAAAACTGCGTTTAATACATTATCGAAATAGTTAAATTATATTTACCATGGTACACCTAATTTCTTTGCTTTTCGGAACTGTTGTATTTTAATATGTATACATATGTGTATCGAAGAAAAACTCTTTGAAGGAAAGTTAAAGAAACAAAATTAACTTTCAATAAGCGTGTCGAGAAAACATTAATGAAGTAAACTTTAACGACTTCACAAGTAAGTGAAAATTAATTTTTTTAACATTAACACAACTGGTTACGATATCATTTTCAATTGTAAATTCATTTAACGCCATAAGTAATAAACAGTTTTATGTCAATGACATAAAACTTTTTATGATATAAATATATTTATTTCTTAAAATTCTTTGCTTAAATTGTTTATTAAATTATATTATAATAATATATTGGAAGACGAAAAAATAATAATTAAGAATATAAGATTTTGTAATTAAAATATGGTGTAGACCTTGTTAATATGGATCGATAAAAAAATCAGTAATCGATGTACATAAAATACTAGCTGTCTCCGGCGACTCCGTTCGCGTGAATGTATAAAAAACTTAATACCTAGAAAAGTTGAACAAAAAGCAGCTATTCAAGGCATAAATTCGAAAAAAAGAATAAATAGTATCCTATGTCCGTCTCCTGGCTCTAAGCTACCTCCTCACTAAACTTCAACCATATCGGTAAAGCCATTCTTGAGTTATAAATAGTGTAACTAACACGCCTTTCTTTTTTATATATAGAAGATATATTTATTTGTGATCATTAAGATGTTCGACATATTTAGAATCATTTTATGTTATATTTTAGAAGTAACAATGAATCAGTGAATTTGTTTGATTTATGTTATAATAAGAAGTTTTCGCGATAACTTCAAAAAATACCAATCGGATAATTCTTTAATAATACAAAAACGTTAATAATTTAGATTTCAAACTTTTAGGGTTAAAGTCTTTGGGCAATTTTTTTTAATCAACGCGTAACATTGTTTAGACTAAATTTTGTGTGCAAATTTTCTTGTCATTATTGTATTAATATAGAGTGCACTTAATACCCGCATTATCGACTTACAGTTTTGATACGACATCTGATCTTCGACCTACCGCATCACCGAGGGTAAACCCTTAAATAAACGAGATTCTCTTAAATTAGATTATTTTACTCATTATATATTGTTAAAAAAAACATCTCAGCGGAATTTTGCACATGAACATCAATTGCGAATGAATTAGCTATTATTGTTTTTTTTTTATTAAAGTAATAAAACGTAACAGAATGATTTAGCCATTAATACGTTTATTTAATACAGAAAAGTCAGTCCTTTTACATAAATAATATACAAATAAATATTTATATCAAATACGCACAGGCATTTAAAATCACGCACTTCGCACAAAATAAGTGATCAAAAATATTCGCATTTCATTTCAATAAATAAAGCGCAAAGCTTTTTGAATTATTATAAACACTATAAAGAGTACTTACTTGTAATTAAAAAGAAAAACTCACTTCACTATAGCACATGAAAAACAAATTAAACTGATTTGTGACTCCGTTGATGTGTTTACGTCAGAGATGGTTGGGTGTAGAGTGACGCACGCGCATCCAGTAGGGGCTGCAGGGGTGCGGGGTGCCTTGCGATATTTTACCCGCCCCATCTCTATACCAACCGAAATGACAACCTAATTGATATCGCGCTTTGTTCAAAAGTCGTCTCATTTTTAATTATTATCTGTTTAGACTTATTATTGAGTTCATTTATTTGCGAATAATTTATTAAAATTAAACCTATTTCAAAATGTTATATAGCATTCATGGTTTTTTACTTACAGTAAAGATAAAAAATTATAATAATTAAATAATAATTATTTTTCTTAAATGTATTATAATAGCGATATTTTAATTATAATGGTCGTGATAACATTAGTATAAATGTTACTTATTTAGATGATATTGTAGATTACATGTATCCCTTTAGGGGATAGAAAAAAAGACTAATAATAAAAAAATTGTCATCGGTGTCGATTCCCGGTGCCATCTTTAAATCTTATATTAGGACAACTGTCAACTCGTGACGTAGTGTGTAAGCCAGGCTGTGATTGGCGCATGCGACTGCGCACCCCTGCCGTTAGGGAGGCGTCTTTATTTTAATTTGGGGCCACTTTATAGAGATTACCCTTTGTACTTGTGACTCTGAGGGTTGCCTTTGTGACTGGCTAGTCATTTTTTAATCGCAGCTCATTATTTCTCTGTTTGTTATTGTAATGATAATCACTTTTATAAATTTATTTATATCGTGCCGGTGAATTGTCGAAAACGTTTAATATACTATTTTTATATTAAAAAATAAGTCCCTTAACATTTATATTATTTGAAAATTTAATGGTTGTTTCTCTATGAAATTATAAATAAACTCTTTGTTTTCTACTGTGATGTTAGGTGTATACTTTGTTATTCTACATTGATTATATTGTTGTAATCTCTTATTTTATTAAATTGTTATGGAGCTGACAATTTTTTTTAGTTAAACAACTTTAGTATTGGGAGTAAACATGAAATAAATAAGACAAACTATTTAAAACTCATTTATTTATTAAGAGATAAATATCAACTAATACCTAGATGATCGGATAAACTAACTGGCTTTAATGTAGCATAGCCATTTTTTTTTATCATTCACATCTTTGTGAAGTTTTTCTTATTGAAGTCAATATAAGAAAAAAAGTATCTATTTAAAACTTTCGTTCTTAAGTTATGCACTAAGTTGTCGAATTCAGTTTTTTTTTTTATTTACACAGATATTGCGAACATGTCTTGTAAGACTTTATCCTACTTTTATGATACAAACTTAGAAAATAACATTTTTTCATGTATAAAAGTACTTACAAAATATATTTTTTAATTTTCCTGTATCCTACGTCTACAATGTGGAAATAATTATAAAAATGTATTATATATTTAATAATTTAAAAATTTATAACTTAACATTTTTTGTAAATATTCAAACATTTAGCAGATAATATTGCATGTATCAAAATATTGCAAATTACATTGTTATCGATTTTCCACTGTTAATTTTAATCATATACAAATAGCACAAGTTATTATGAAATGGAACCATTTTCTCTAACCAACCACAAAATAAGGTCAATCTACTTAACAAACTTTAAGTGACTAAATGCACATAATATTGTCTATAATTAGTCTTTGGGTAATGCGCTGTCACTTTTCCCTCTGGAATAGACTCGATATGCGCTTTTCGAGCCGAGCATTCTATCAAGCAAGCTGTGTTTCGCCCGTTTCCTGAGAGATAACACATCACGGCAAAGTTCATGGAACACCTCTCCAACTTGATTCACCTGCTCTGCCGCAGCTACTTCAGCGAAGCTGCATTCAAAATCTTTCGCTAATATTTCACCTTCTTCTGGACTCACCTGGAACATGTAATTTATATATTTATAACTTTATGTAAATGTTAGACCCGGATTAATCACAACAGTAAATTGTGTAAGATCACAGAATACCGGATGGCTCGATCGCTATTTTTATCGAATGTTCCCTTTCTATACCTTTGCAGAAAAAATAGCGATGAAATTGCAGTAGGGAGTTTCGAATTCATGCTCGCACGTTTACTATTCTCTTCGTACACATTCGTATTCCCTTCTATATCAAGGCACTAACGAAGTAAAATAAGTTTAATATTTGTCTGCAGTATATGGTAATGAATTTGTGTCTGTGCATTAATGGCCGGACTATTCTTGTAACGAAAACGGCCCAGGAAGATGGTATACTTTGCCAAACGATGTATTTGGCAGAACACCAACTTTTATTTTGTAGTGACAAATTTGGTCCTGTTGGTATTAAATAAAATAAAACCGCATTGAATACTTTACAATTTTAGAAATTCTTTCCATATCCTATTGTATGAGGGTCAGCAGAAAAGTTTTTCGTTTCTAAAATCTAAAATTTTTAATTTCAGTCGTCACTTCTTAAGTAAGAACTTTATCAACTAGTACAACATGTTATATGTAAAGGATTACCTGTCTTAAATGTACCATATCAGCCTTATTGCCTACAAGTGTGAGCGGAACATCTGGATGAAGACTTTGCTTGGCTCGACGCACGTAGTTAAACGATTCGCGGTCAGTGATGGAGTAAACCAGGAACAAACCATCAGCCCATTGCGCTATTTCGTTGCCAGGTAGCTCGTCCAAACTCTGCAAATAATGTATCGAAAAGAAAACTATAAGTAAAATAATAGCTAAGAGTCAACGATACTCCGTCCCTGACCTACAAACTAGTAACAGTCAAAATGAAGGTCGTGAAGGTCTTTTGAACAAGCAACTCAAGGTTAGAGTGAGATAGTTGGAATATAACATGTTTGGCCGTAAGGACATCAACATTAATGTCGAAATTAATTAATAATTCATTGAAAAAACCAAAAATCGTTTCGCCTCTTATGTATATAAATGATCTAATAATAAAAACAAATAAAATTAGTAGGACAGTTTAGGGTACAGACAGTCAATTGCACTAATTAATTACATGACGGTCAGTGGAGTAATAAGGTAAATTGTTACCTTTGGACACGTGTCCAATATTTCAAACAATATTGGTTCACCATCTAGAAGAGCTTCGTGTTTGTACTTGCTATCTGGAAAATTAAAATTAAAATAACATTAATTTTGGTTGATTTTTTGTTTCTATAGAATTTGATAAAAATAATCATCTGTTACAGTGTCAATTTTCTTTTTTCCAAAAAAACTGTTTTCACGGAAAATTATTGAAGGCAATATTGACGTTAGCGCCATCTCGTGTGTCGATTTGATTACTAATAGTTCAAAGTTACGGTACGATATATTATTTTTTTAACACGGTTACTTTTGCTTTGCCTTAAAGAGTAGCATCCGTTTAAAAGAAAAGTCTTTGCTCTAGCATATGTTAAAGAAAATAAAATCCATACCTTGCTGATGATCGTATTCTCCGATGTACCGCTTAGTGAGGAATCGGACCGTCAACGCTGTAATGCAAAGGACATCTGAATAAAAAAAATTGTTTGTTTGTTTGTTACGCATTTCTTAGTTACTGGCCAAGTTAAGATATATAAAGTAGCATTCTTAGAAGGCCAGAGGCTTATTTTTAATATGTAAACCTGCATAGCATACACTATATCACTAAAATTAAAAAAGTTCGCAGTCCATTGTAGCTGGACATGCGGAACCGAATAAGCAAAAAAAACAATAAATATAAATAATTATCGTGAACGAGGAGTTGCGTTCATAAGCGTGTTAATAAATGTTAAATTTAAATAGTTATTTCAGGTTTTAATTATGTTATAAAAATTCTCTGACATACTAATTATAATCACGTAAAAACTACAGCGTGAGTGTAAATATAATTAGATATGAACTAGCAGCCAGTGTCGATAATAAATTCTACGTTGATTTAATACTATATTACAATGTATTACTCTTTTTCTAGACTAGTAATAATAATAGTTGTTAATTGTTCAAAATTATACCATAATTTATGTTCAAAGATTTTTTTGTTTGATTAAAATCATAAATTTCTTTTTCATATTTACTTTACCTGTGTCATATTTTATATGTTGATAAAAGAGATGCAAAGTTTTCGGTTTACTTGTTTTTCTACATTACTTCAGAAAAAATATGTAATTACGCAGAATAAGTTTCCACGTGTAAAAAAAATATTAACATTTGTTCTTTAAAAGAGGATGGAGGACAATATGTTTTGAAAGTACAGATCATTTGGCAACGGATATAAGGAATTTAATACTGGGCTATGTTGTTACAACCATTAGGTTTAAATCGACTTAGAAACAATAAATAACGTACTTCCTCTTTAAAGATAAATACATCAGCGTATTCTCAAACATTTATCAATGATGGTGATTAATTATGAGATAAATCGTTAACTACTTCACCTACAATAAAACGGACCAGCCGCAAAATTTTGTTTTGCAAAATACGTTAACTAAATACACAAAAGTGCTGATTTCGTTCTATTCGAGACTGTGATGTATTGAATTCGCGTAGTATTTTTTTAATTCACAACTAGTGTTTGTTTTCACTGTCCATTTGTGTACACGTTACGTTTTATTTGCGTTACAATGTTGCCAGTATCTGACATTCCGATCTTATTTTTTCTTTCGTGAAATATAGATCGATGTTGGATATTTTACGGCCAGCATTTAAAAGCAGTATATTGGACTATATTTACTTGGACGATAATTTAATATTCTTTTACTATCCTTACCTTTAAGTATTCCGTATCTTTACGAAAAAAAACTTAATTTTGCAAATGAACACTAGCTTTTTAATGTGAATCTTATTCTACTCATAACTTAACGATGGATTTTTGTTTGTAGATATTTGGCATAGATATAGAACATAGTCTGGAATAGCATATAGCTACTCGTTAAGTTTTTTTTTTTAATTACGCACGGACGAAATCGCGGACTTAAGCTAGAGTAGTTTAATATAGAATGATGTATTCGAACATATTCGTTAGTGTATAGTCCACAATTTAACTATACAGTTGTTTATTGCCTTTTTTATAACAGAAGGGGGCAAACGAGCAGCGGGAACACCGAGGTGTTTAACGACGCCCAAGGACATCAGCAATACCAGAGGATCCGCAGATGCGTTGCCGGCCTTTGAGATGGTGATACGCTCGCTTCTTGAAGGACCCCAACTCGTAGCGCTTTGGATATAACTTTGTTAATTTACATTTTTCATAAGTTAAATATTTTCACATTCCCAAAAATTGCGTCACTGTAGAATATTTGGCACGATCTACGCTACATTACATCACGAAAATAGAAACAAATTATTCCATAAAGGCATGTAGTTGCTACACCGGTATGTTTTCATTTTACATATTTCAATATATTGCATACCTAATATTCGCTCTTGTTAATAATTAAAACTTTATATTATTTTACACCAAACTATTAGATCAAGCTAATAATAATAATTTTTAATTTCAAAAAGAGGTTTAATTGATAAAGTTTGTATATCCCTAAAGAATTAACTATTATTTAATTAGACAGGCTTTGTAATTTTATTGTTATAGATAATTGTTTTATTATACATTGTCGTTGCAATCGTGTACACAAATGCTTTGATTTTAATGAACATATAATTAACTAAACAAGGTAATGACGTACATAAAGAATAGTATATTATTACAAGATCGTTTAGAGAAAACAGATATAATTGTAACCATCGATAAAGCACAATCTTACAGTCAGTTCCATATGGCACCTGAATATTAACGAATAATACCACTAACGCTTTAAAATGAAGCCGTGTTACGCCATGAATAATTGAAACGATGCTGAGAGAAAACATAGGTATACAAAGAAAGGAAGTGACATGAAATTAATATGACATAAAATTTACAATATAAAAAGTCTATTTTCAATAATCTGCCTGTATAAAGATTTTGTCCTAGTGAATTTCTAGACCGAATAATTGTTGTAAAGTTCACTTGCTCCTATAAATTGGGGTAGATGGCGCTTAACTTATAGTAATAGCTTAGCTCTATTGCCCATTCTCGGTGCGGAATGCTTTGGTAGCTTGCCCATACTGCCTTGGCTTGAATATGACTTTTTGATGTTAATCTCATGAATTTTATATCCAACGAATTATTGGCATCTACATTATTAATAAATCCGTAAAAAACATTACGTCTATTTATAAAAGCTGCTCAAAAACAGGACAGAACATCTTACTATTTTATTATTTGCTAGTTAAACAGCTATATCGTCGCGCGGTTCGCAAATAACCGTTGTTTATTCTAAAGTCTTAAAATACTCAACGATAGCAGGAAAGAAGCAGTGACTTCTTTATGTTTAATAAAAATAGAATAAACTCTGCCGAAACATAATTTTTGTGAGTAGTTAAGACGTTTCTAGTGGGTGATAGTCCTACGCAATCGTTTGGGTGCGGGCAGAGGTTTCTGAATCATAAACGCTTTTCGGTACAATGTACTAAAATTGAAACATTTCCGTCAGGCAGAATTAACATTATTGATTAATGTAACCTTGTTAAACATTTTGAGTAGTTCTATTTTTACTAAGATACGAGGATATTTTACAGTTTATTTAAAATTTTAACAGTCCGAACTACGACAGATAAGGCCACGTACATGTACACAGAGAGTTGCAGTTTTCTTGCTCAACTTGCAAGCAATCCGTGTACAGCAGTCCGTAGTTTTTTCTTAGTTTCTTTTACAGTATAATATATACAGATTTTCGGGCAAAAAATCAAGGGTTGAATTGTTACAAAACTGTAATATTATTTTACCATTGCGTTTTGACTTGTGTATTGTCCAAATGCATCGAAATCTATGGAGAATTGCAGCGACCATTCGATGACGTCATTCAAATCGAACCGTGAATGAATATGGGGCATTGCATCATCATTAGTTATTTGTCTACTATCAATTTGTTTTGATGACACGTTTCAACATATTGTTAACAAATGTAATTCAAAATTAAAATTATAATTTTTTTTAGAAAAAGATTAACGAAACTATGTATCGGAGATTCCCTTAGAAGGAAAAAAGTAAGAATATTTAACTCGCAAATGTGATTGGCTGGCAATTCGTCTCAGAAAAATTACGTGAAGAGTACCAGTAATTGGCTAGCAAGCTTACGTAGTTGTAAGGATGTAGAATCGGGCAGATTGTACCTATATAAAGGCTAAAGATACTTATAATCACTGCCAATAGCATGGTACATTATAGCGTGTAATATGTAAATGATGGCAGCATCATTTCATTGCATTTTAACGTTACATAAGTACATATGTATAAGTGATCTCATTAATACTCGATTGCTACAATATAGCATCATTAAATAATGATAAAATGATTGGCTATTGTTTATTTTTATCGTATAAAACAATTCGTAAACAAACGTAGTTTACGCAGATTGTTCTATCACTTGCGTTTTGGCGTTCTGCCACTTCGGTAGCACTCTGCTGTGATATCACACATCTAAACGATTTACGATGACAAAACGTAATAAGTATTGTATCATGCGCTAAATAATTGTAAATGACGGGTAGCGTTACCGAATGCTTTTAAAAATACATTTCTGTCCCCGTGGCCAATTTTCAACAGGTTTGTAAAAATAAGAAGTTCTTACCTCGAAAGAAACATACATGAAAATATAAATAATAAAGTTCTCGCCAGTATCCAAAATACGTAATAAACTTATATCAAAATTGGACTTATAATAGAGAACACAAAAGAAACCTTGGTTTAAACAAATTGGCCAACCAAAATCTATTGAGCTTCATGAAACTGTTATAAACACGATCGACTATTCAATATACATACCTTAAATTACCATAAAGCACGTTCGATTGATTTCTGCATAAGAGAAGTCTTATTTTAGACCTAAACAATCGTGTTGGGAAAACGTCTACAAAAGGTTTCTTTGTTGTTACGCTGTGCGCATGCATGTTCTAGGGTTATGTTATGAAATTGAATAACTTCGAAAATTACTTTATAAGTTGAAATCTTTTCATTTATAAGACAAAATCAAGAAGTTTTTGCAATGAATAGCTAATTAGAAATACGAAAATTCGCGCGTTTCAAATTTCGTTCGGTATCACAGAATTAGACAGTGCGCGGATTCGAGGTTATTTTCAATTGTTCTCTACGCGTGAATATTTGAACGAGCACGTTTTAATATTACCTAATGTACTCTGAAATCAACTGAGATCAAAGTGCACGCAGAGGAAACGTTTATATTCTTTTTAAAAAATATGTTAACAACCATTATGAACTTTGTAAACAACACAAAACGATTAACCGTCTTTCATTACGACAGGTTTAGACAGATATGATCATCTTATTAAGTGTAATTTAATTTTATAAACATCTTTACTAATGCCTGTTTTTGTTACGTAATATGACATCTATCTATATATATATATATAAAAGAAAGTCGTGTTAGTTACACTATTTATAACTCAAGAAAGAACGGCTTTACCGATATGGCTGAAAATTGGTGAGGAGGTAGCTTAGAGCCAGGAGACGGACATAGGATAGCTGTTTTTTATTTAACTTTATTACGTTTTTTTATGCATCCACGCGGACGGAGTCGCGGGAGACAGAAGGTTTCAAATAATGATGACGCTTGTATTTCTGAGTGCAACACCTACTTAATTTGGAAAAGGAAAGTGAGGAGACTCAACCCTAAATAATAGCAAACGGGAGATACGTTTTAATGTGTAAAGTAAATTAGTGGTAGAGGCGTAACAATTTGTAGCTACAATATACATGCATGCATGTAAGCAATGAATGGAATATGCTTGTATATTAAAATAATAAGATATAACGTGTACGTACGAAAGTACGAGAGCAATGGAATTCATGATCATTGACCCATATACATTCGGAGTTTACGCACCAATACACAATGTTGCCGCCAAAATTAGACCCGAAGTGTCGAAATTATTCCAATTACAACCATCCTACGTGCCATCTGCGGCTTGTCTTGAATCTATATTACCTAAGTTAGCCATCGGAAAGATACTTTGGCACATGTCTCCTCGCTAACATAATAATACATATTATGTGTTTAGTAATAAAATTTAATTAGTTACCTTACCAATATTATAAATGGTAATGTTTAGATGGATGTGTGTTTGAAGCTATCTCCAGAACGGCTATATGGATCTTGCTGAAATTTGGCAAAGATGTAGAACAGTCTGGAAAAACACATAGGCTACTATTTTTTTTTTCAATTACGCAAGGACGGAGTCGCAGGCGACAGTTAGTATAAAATAAATTACGCGTACACCAGGCCGCTCGAGAATGTGATATTGATCTAGGTTTTGTTGAAATTGACTAGGTATGTGTTATTACCTAAATGTACTGAATGGCAGTAAATATAACATTTACCACCAATGTTAGTTCGGTTCAACCATTATTCGCATTTTTACTACGCGTTGAGAATATTATCTCGTCAGATGTCACTTAAGAATTCAACTACGGAATCTATTTTGACAACACACACAAATAGAAAAGCCGACAGCGTGGGTTTATTTGCAACAGATCATGACAAATGAGCAAAGGGATATGTTTTGTAGCGTATTCGTCTTCACCAGTTATGACGCCGACTCTTCATCGATATACATTGTTTTGTTCATTTTAATTCAATCGTCAGCATTTATAAACAACTAGCTTACGCCTACGACTACGTGCGCGCGGAATTAAGAAAAAAACTTAATAAGTAGAGTATGTGTTCTTCCAGGGTATGTTCTAGATCTATACCACATTTCAACGAGGCCATGCAGACGTTCTGAAGATACTTTCAAACAATTATCTATCTATTTAAACATTCGCATTATTTATATTATTAAGATATTAATTACAAATGTTTATCTCAAATGATTTTAACGTATATTTAAATTATTAAATTAAACGTTTACGATTTATTAATCTCCTCATTCTACATAAAGCTAAAGCTTGCATCTTGTAATAGGTACATATTATTGACGATGTAAATACAGGAAATAGACACTCGTATTTCTTAAACATTATGAGTACAATGTTTACCAAATGTTTTCTAAACTCCCTATAGAAGGTTCAACTCTTGGTATTGGAGTCTGTTTTATTTATGTAATATAAAAATAATATGTTTTTGTATATAACAGTTTCGCATTGCGGCAATGGTCGCGAGCATTACACACGTGTTATTCAATGTTACTGTTATAAATAAATAAAATGACCTCAGTAAGAACAGAGCACAGCAGAACTAGTACGTTACAATCGAACTTTTACATATTCATATTTTATTATACAATAGTTTATTTCTTCAGAATATGACATATAAAAGAAATAAATACGCATAATATAGTTTTAAAATGCTATATGTTTGCTTCGAACAAAGTTAAGAATATTATTTATTATTTAGTTTCCTAGTATAAAAATTAACAATCTTAGTACTAGGAAACTAAATAATTAAAATATAATCTTACTAAATAACTAACCACTACAAAACAATGAATTAATTAATACTATATTAAATAAACTATATACTAAAACTAAACCAAACTAAAAATAAAACTAAATAATATAAAAAATCGACCCCAAATCGCTGCGCTCGCACGGTAGGATTCCCAAGAGGCTGGCGGCATTTCCCCGTTGGATGGCCAGCATAATATTACGTACAAGACATAATAGATTAACCGTAGATTTCTGAGAACTAAATCTCTGTATAAAACATAGTGATCAGTGTCACTATCTTTGGCAACACAGAGATAGCAATATGTTTTAAACGGAGATACTCACGGTAACCCACGGTAAATCGTGAATCTACTAAAATTTAAACTTTCTCACGCTAGAATTAAGAAGTTTTTTTTTATAAGAAAATGCTTTTCAAACAAAACTGTAGAATATGACCAGCTATAGCTTCATTATAAATCCAGTGTTAATAATCGAAACTATAATAATTAATTGAGATGCTTCCAACAGAATATTTGAATAGTTTACTTACAATCATTGGTAATTTTTTTTATTCGTAAAATAATCTGGTTTAACGATTAATGATGTTACACTGATGTAATCGTTGAAAACAATGAAAGCCACAATGATGGAACATTTTTAGATCGTGGTTCTAATAAAAAGTGTACATTCTAATCTCGTTTGATGATTTATTTCGCATCTATAAAAATTTCACGACTTGTAACATTAACAGTATACCCGTCATCCATAGAAGTAGGCAGAAATTATAAATCTATTTTACGTGCCACTAATTTCGTTTTATTAATTGCTTAATAAGGTGCCTAAAAAGATGACATATTTTATTACATTAACTAACAGCTTAATAGATTGTCATCAGTGTGAAACATTGCATTTCTGAATATTATATAGGAATATTTTACTTCTTTTGGGGATTGAATCAAATTTCGACTAATTACTTTAAATTACTTTCTAAATTAATATTTGGATCTAAATTATATGCATCCAAATATTCATTTACTTTTAACTGTAATATTCAAATGCATAATTGTATATCTAAAATATCTCCGTCTAGTAAAGACCTTCGTGTTAAAATTTTGGCAATGTAATGCGACATCGAGTAGAAACAACTGTCTGGCAAAAGTCTCGTGTTGTCTGGTAGACCTTTAGGTATAACTGTACAGTCCTCTTACACGAACAAATGCTAAAATATTCACTGCAAATAGCTTTTGGACTGGAAATGTGGACGGAGTATTTGCAGGCAATCGATCAAAATTATATTTCAATTTCTATTCAGCGTTACTTTCATATAGGTTTTAGCATTCTAAGTTTTTTTTGTAATGTGTAACTTCGTGATGTTGTCAATGTTATGCCGGCGACATAATCAGTTTTATAATAACTGAAAAGTTGAAAATGATTCTCTGAGCGGGCTTAACTGTCAGTCAAACTTTACAGTCCCCAGTTTTGCTTACACCGTAAGTTTTAACTGTACAGTCCGACTGTGTAGTTAAAACTGAATGTGTTCGGAATTATTTACTAATACTGTGAAAGTAGACATTATTCTAGGGTTTGATTGATACATGTCTTTGAATTTTTCGCTGATAAGAAAGTCAGATGTATGTATACTATATGTAAATCGGAAAACTGATTGATACAGGGCGGGATTCGAACACAGGATCTGAACATTAAAGGTCAAGTGCTTAACCCACCGCCGCGCCGACGCTTACACTTTAATATTTAATTTTAAAAATTACATTGTTATTTGCAAAACCGTTCTAATATTATTTGGTGACAAAATATTTTAATTGTGGCAATTTACTAGTGAATAATTTGTTAGTTTAGTTAACCTTGGAAGTAACTTTTGATTGACTAATTTTATCTTCGTGGTCGTAGCAATGATTTCTTCAGAATCGCGTAGGAATTGGTTTATATCCATGAATTCGTTGCGACGTTGAATCATAATTCGAAAGAGAATTTTTCTAAATTTTTTAGAACGACTGCTAAATTGATATTTGCAAGTACAATCGCCGTCCGTAGCCAAATACCGATAAATTTAAGCGGATTTGATAAATTTGCTACATACCTTTCAAAATAACCAAAATAAACTTATGTATTTAATATATCACATGTAAAAAATTGTAGCCACAAACTTTAGTCAGCAATTATTTATCGATTTTTTTATTTATTAAGGGCTACAACTTACCATTCGAGAAACATCACAGGGGTTAATTATCAAACTATAAAAAAGTTGTTATAACAACACTTATCTAGCTTTCTGCAAACAAAACACTAAACATTGCGCGTGCGTGTATATGTATCGCGAGCTCACATACCGCTTTTGCCGACAGACGGTGCACCGATCACAGCCACTTTCACTTCGGAGAGTGAGGATTTCTTCCGTCTTATGCCTCGAGATGTCATTTTCCCGCGATCATGGTCCCGGCGCACGGAGATCTCGTGGAATGGCCCGTAGGCGGAGTGCGCGTACGCTCAACACAACCCCGCTCCCGCTTACCAGCTATTAATACCCCAAAGCGACACAGCTCTGACATCGGCACCCGTGTTAATGGGTCAAGATCTGGCCAAGATCAGTTGTGCGAATAGGCGTGTTTACGTCGCATCGCATCGGGCTTCCTTACGACGCCACGTGCCCATGGCCGTCGGCCAACGCCGCCCCTCAATCTTGACACTGTTTCGCACCCACTGCCACTCAACGCATATCTTCCCCATCATCACTGTCACCACTTAATACTTCACACAGACAATCGTTTTATAATATTCAATAGCAGAATTACTACAGAGCTAATTATGTGATCTTTTACGTTTCGTATTGAAAATATGATTTCTAGGATGATTATAATATAACCGGCGTCTACATCCGGCACTCTAGATAAAAAATTTGAGTAGATGGTATGTTAGAAACGGCTCGGTGCGCGTTAGGTATGCATCGTGTGCTGACTGGCGAAGCGCCAGGACTCATCTTCGAACTACAATTAAAATATACGTAAGCATTAAGCGGCATTATCACTTCCATTGTTAATAATTATTTTTATGACATATTTAACAGCATAGCATTGCTTTATTAAAAAAATGTGCTTGTTCATGATTCTAGAATAGTGATATGCCTAAATCCACTCCACTAAATCGTTTTCTGGAAGCACTTACTTTTACCAATGGATAAAAGCAATTTTTTATAATATTAATATAATATTAAGGCAGGTCATTTGCATCGAAAAATAAAACGATAAATAAGCAAAATATACATATATTCCCCTTAAATTACACAATTATTTTTCATACTATATTATACACATATACATAGAAAAAACCTTATATGTTACATCTACATTTTTATTGCTTGATGCGCGTTTTTTATTCAAGCTTTACATTTATCCAACTATTGGGTACTTATCTATTATGATAACACATCGATTGTGATTTGACAAGACTTATAAAGGAATCATTGATAAAAAATAAATTTCATTTAACTTAGTAATCATGTATTAATACGGCGAGTTTCCATTGTCGTAACACATGTATTACAACTATTTCATTGTTTTGGAAAAAAGAAACAATAACATACGAATTATAATACAAAAAATTGATAATGGATTTAAAATAATAGCTGAAGTATTATTTTCATTTATATTAATTTAATAGTAAATGGGTAACGAAAAAAATGTATATCAAATTACAATCGATCTTTTATCAAATCTTACATTAATAATTAAAATCAACATTGAACTTAATGTAATAATGGAATTAGATTTTTTGAATTTGGAATAAAGAGTTGATTATGCTTTGTCGAGAGAAATTACTTATTCCAGGGACTAAAAATTTGAATAAAATGTTTTAATTCCTATTCTAAATTCTGTGGGTATCGACTTGTATGACACATATTGTTGTCTCTGTTTATTCTAAAAAGAATGAGAGGGATAACAATATCAGTCAATCCAACTGTCACTGTACTCATAACCCATAGTAAAAATATTCCAATGTTAAATTAATATATATTATGCATATACTTGATTACAAATTAAAATAAAAAAAATCTATAAACAAATTTTAAAAGTCAAATTAACGTAACGTGTAATAACATGTATTTTTAATTAAAATGCTAAGGAATTTTAATAAAGTGAATGTTTTTATGAAGATGTGTGAAAAATAAAAAAGTACCTATTAACAGCAAAGACGCAGTACTATGATGTAGTTTAAAACAATAAAACATGTACAAAACAGTAAAACATGTAGAAAACATTGTTTAAATGAGAACCCAAAACACAAATATAAAACATAAACAAAATGTAACAAAACTCGTAAAAAAAAATTATCAAAGTCCGGTATCTTACGACAGCTTAAAAATAATTAATCAGTACATTAATTCACTTAATTTAGTGTTAAATTTAATTTCCTTATGTTAAGTAAAATCTAATTTTAATTAATATTTAGTCGACATGAAGTCTATACTTATTATCAAATTAATTTTAATTATTTACAAAAAGCATGCTCTTCGAGAGCTTCTTTTTCAATACAAAGTTGCGATAGATATATTCTAAAATAACTGAAAATGTATATTAGAAGCAAAAGTGATTAAAAAAATTAGGGAATAATGAGAATATGAGAACTTTATAGGATAATAGAATCATGACTGGTTGATATGAATTTCGAATATATCGCACAAAAAAATGATGCACGGAACGCGTCATGTTTTTAAAATTTTTTGTGAAATTTAAATTTAAATATCACAAAAAAAATTATACAACTACAAATTGGTCAATTACTTATTATACGTTAGTAAGAAATTTATATTATCATTTATTGAGCCAGTCGTGAAATTTTAGTAAGAGTAAAACTTACAATAACAATTTGGCACAAAATTAATGATTTCGTAAGCAATAAATAGATATTTTAATTTAAATTTTACACAAAATTTTCCATCATAATATCTAAATATAATATTATTTTTAATTCATTTATCAAGAATTTTAAAATGTAAACTAAAATTTGAATTTATTGTCCAATTTCATGATAAGTGAATAACACAGACGATAAGATTGGGTTAGATTAGGTTCCCGAAGACAATTGGATAAGAAAATATAATATTAATCGCTCATAAACTTATACATTGGTTAATAGAACAAATCTTGTTCTGACAATTAATGCTATGAAATTCTATGGTGGTATGCAAAACATTATTATGTACTTTAACTAACGATCTTAAATTATTTTTATACTAACTTATAAACTTATTATTCTTTGAATCTACAAACTACAATAATATTTACTTAAAAAAAACTTAAGTATCTTAAGTTTTTTTTATCCTTACCTATATTTTTTTATGTTTTATTTTTTACTTTTAATCTACTTTAAAATTATTTAAAATAACGTAATAAAATTAAAAATAAAAAGTACAAAAGAAGAAAGCAATAATTTTACACATTTGTTTAAAGTAAATGATTTGACGTTACTTTTTTTTTAATCTAACTGGTTAAATAAAAAAATATTTTGTAATGTTACAAAATTTAAAAACTCTGAAAGTTGACAATGTTCGCCTCTAATATTTACTTATTTATATTTAATAGTAAGTAGAATACTGTCTTGAAAAAACACGAATTAAAAAACATAAAATCATTTTTTGAAAAAACTGTGATACCATGATTTTATACAGATGTTTCGAAAGTGAAAAATCAGTAATAATGTTAAGTTTAAATTAAATTTCGTAGTACAATAATTCTGATGATTATGGTTGATTATTTCTATATACTATTCTTGGGTTCGCCAATAGACCTAATTCAAGTTACAAATAGCACACCAATTATACACTCAAATCTTTCAAATGAAGAGACAAAGAATATCCATACAAAATATAGTCTTAACCTATTTTACTAAGATTACGAATTTCAAATTAAACACTAGACTAATTATTCATCTAATTAAACACTAGATATGACGAAAAGTGTCCTTAAATATTTAAAATATCAAATTAATACTAATTTTACTTTCAATATTCTAAAAAAATACATACTAAATGTTTCTAAGTCTTTAGTAATGAAGTTGGTCAAGTATTGAAAATGCTAGTTATAAAAAACTTCTTTCCTAAAAGTACTGATTTTTTTAAGTAAAATACTATCATTTAAGGCATAGATTGAAGCTGCCATTAAGAATACTTGTTTAAAAATATGCAGGTACTTTTTGAACATTATTTTGTAGTCCTGCAATTTAAAAAACTGTTTGGTTCCAATTTAAAATATTTAAAAAAATTGTAATATTAATTTGCTGTGATTGAATTCAATTGCTTTTTTTTTGGAGAAAAAAATGGTGTGAAAAATCAGCTTTAAAACTATTACATAAAATATAAAAAATATTAGCAGATTTTTTTGGAAATTTACTAATATTTCTTTTACCATTCCAACTAAGCTCTAGGATATGGTTTACAATAGTCGAATGGCGGGATACGAACTCCCGAATTCGTGATCAGAAATCCGTGCCCTTAACCATTAGGCTATTGACGCTTTTAATTCAACCTAAAGATTACAATACTTCAAAAACTAAATCGATGATTCCTATGTAAATAATCGTATCCCACAATATTGCCTAATTTAACACATATACATATATAAATATACCAGTTTAATTTAAAAGAAAAATAAACAAAATACCTACGGAACTAACTTGTGAAATGGCAACTATTTTTTTATTAAAAAAAATGTAGTCATCGTTTATTACTGTCAATTTGTAAATGTATTGTGAACGCGATGTTATTTTCAATTCGTAATATGTTATATACTGTAAAATTTATAACCGTGGAGAAAAAAAATAACATCAACAAACATATAATAAAAAGTTGCATTATCACCAGAGATTGTGATGCTCTCATGACAGGGTTGTTCATATTTTACTCAAGGCTATTGCTTAGTATATTTTTTGTAATCATAATAATGTTTATGTCCAAATACATATTTTACGATAAGATTATTTACATGGCAACCCTAGGCCTACTTAAGTTAAAATTTATTGTTCTAAAAACTAACGACCATTGAAGTCTTCCTAATTATACTATGAATATATCCTACTTGTGATGGTTGTAATGGAGCCTTGAATGTACACTCCTTAATCCTAACTTATATTTAAACCTTAGTAATAATTAATTAATTAAATTATATTATAAAATTAAAAATATAACTAAAATCTTGAAATATTTATAATACTTCAAGGAACCTATATCAGAACACTTAAGGGAGTCTGATTAAATAATATAGAGCAAGGCAAAATAAAATAAAAAAGCCAATATACTATCCTGGATTATGAAAACTTTAGATACGCTGACCCATGTATGAGTAATCAAAATGCGCAGTACATAAAATTTTTGTGCACTTCCAACAATTAGGACAACGAATCAAAAGCTTCTTTGTATTACCAGGTATTTTTTTTTACTACATTTGTTATGAAACAGCCAATTTCATCTAAAAAAAATACAAACAAAAAAACAGGTGTTAAAATTTTGAATGATAAAATCAATTTGTCATTTTTTATAAAACTGAAAAATTGATTGACACTGAAAAACAATAAAAACGTCCTTATAAACGTATTAAAAAAAGATATTAAAGATAATTCGTATAACTATCTCACAGCTCGACTTTTGCTTAAAAAAAAGATAAACATGTATTGAGGTTACAAATTGGCCGTTATATGAATGTACAACACTAACAGAAAATTAAAGCTAAAAGGCTAACGATAAGGAAATAAAAAGAAAATAAAAAAAAATTGCTCTAGTAACGAAAGAAGCGCAAACAATATTGATTAAAAACATAATTTCAAACGAACACCAATTTAAGTAACAACAAAACATTAATACCACAACCAAATTGATAATTAAAAAAACTGAAACAAAACAAAACAAGAATAGAACTTAAAAAAATACTTAACTCTAAAAAATCCTAATTCTACAAACTGAAAGAATTAAAAAAATTTAACCAAGCAAGACGGATAAGTTTCAAATAGAGTTCAAAAATAACTATGGGACCTAAAAGAATCCTAATTCCAACGACAAAATAATCAATAGAGTGATCAACAATTAAGAATTAAATCTAACAAATGGAAAAAACAAAGCAAAATAAGGAACCTTACATAACTCTAAATCCAAATTGAGAAACATTAAAAAAAATTTAAAAAAAAGAAAAACAACAATGAATATTAAAAATTAAAATTATTAAATAACTTTAAATTACCTTATTAATAAAACAAAAAAATTAACTGAATTATAAATTCTAATTATTATAATAAAATTTAAATCAATCATAAAATTGATACTAAATTATTTATTACTAATACGGATTTTTTGAGGTGTTAGCGCCTCGATTGCTGTACAAAATAAAGGCTTAAATAACAATAGTAATATGTTTAAAACTATATCCATAGACTCATACCTATAGACGGAGCATTTCATTTTGACATTTAAAATACCATTTTCATAATGTCAAATGTTCGTGATGCAAAAGTATACCATATGCGAAAAAAACATTCCCAAATTCGGGAAACTGAAGCATATAAAAATTAAAAGTAATATTAAAGAAAACATTTTTTTCTAATGTTAATTATTGTTATTTTATTATAATAACTAGCTGTCACCCGCAACTCCGTCCATACGGAATTTAAGACGAAAAACTTAATTAATAGCCTTCTTCTTCCAGGCTATGTTCTAAACCTATGCCAAATTTCATCGAGATCCATGGAGCCGTTTTTGAAATACCTTCTAAGAAACATCCATCCATACATCCAATCATTCGCATTTATAATATTATAGTAAGATTGTCTGAAACAAATTAAAACATAAAACATTTTTAAAAAGCCTCATTTTTGTTCTCTTAATAGGTATAAGTCTATGTTTATATCTAATTTTAATTAAAATTAACGGCTTATATACATTAAATCCTTTCTAATAATAAAGGATAAATATGGTTGATGGTTTAAAATGGTGTCATGATATTATACATCGTAATTTAAAAAAAAATTATTAAATTTTCTTAATTGAATCAATGTTAATTGGAAAAAAAATCGGCATAGAAAAGTCCTGTGAGATGAAATTACGTTAGATCCGTTTCAAATTTTAAATGTAAAAAAAACCTACAGATGTATTGTACCCCTACCGTTGCGGGTCGATTAAATAAATATAAAAATGACCAAAAAAATATAAATTAAATAAAATAATTTGATAGTAAATTTTATAATGATAAAAAATCGAATTCCCTGTAATTACTTGAAAAGAAATTGAATATAAAAATTTATGGGACTATAATATTTTAAGTAAACATATTTATACTGAATTATAATATACTCTAAACCCTACATATACACATTTGTAAGTATATTGAAATCACCTAAATTTATATTAATTCTAAATACAATGATATATACATCACAAGACAAATCTAAATATTAATGAAATATTTGGAATATTATATCAAATTTACTTAAAAAAAATTACAAACTAGTTATATTAAATTTTATCTTAAAATAAGAAGCCTAGTGATAGTCGTCTACAGAGTAGACAGAGATAATTTCTAGTTTTATACAGTATTTTGAGTTTTCACCAATGTTTCACAACAATTACAAATATTTTATTAGGTTTTCAATATTAATTACGAACTCCAATCACTATATTACTTAGTCTTTGCTATAACTTAGAAATAAAGTTATTGTTTTAGACGAAAAAATAGAATCATAATTTTATTGTCACCGCACTAAAGTACTACATTGTAAGAAAATTATGTAGTAAGATTAAGTTTTCATAAGAATTGATATAGCATAAAAATGGAATTAAAAAAATAATATTAATTTGTTTTTTCTGTGGAATTTAATTGTGGAAAGTCAAATAATTAGAGTGAAGATTTCTTTAGCTATGTGCGCGGTTGTCATGTGATTCTATTCAGGATTCCGAATTTGATGAAATACTTAGTAAATACACATTAAACACGTTACATTAGAAATTTTGGATTTTATAATAAATTTATATTTGTATTTCCTTTAATATCAATTCAGATTTATAAGATTATATAAGTAACTTCTTTCTTATTATTGTAAAAATCGAAATTTAATGACATCAAAGTTATGTTAAACACAAAAAATGTTATTTATTACGGATTAAAATGGCACCAGGTCCATGCATAGCCAAAAAAAAATATTTCATATAAGTTGGTATTAAGTAAAAAACTTACCCTACATTTCATAATATAAGCGTGGGTATCTGAGTACCAAATTTCCATTTAAAACATATTGTTATCTCTTTTTTGTCATAGATAATGACAAGGATGACTATATGTTTTATACAGAGTTTGTAGTCTCGGAAACTCACTGTAATTCACACAATCTAAACATCCTTCAAAATTAATTAATCCGAAGGTAGTCTAAAAATTTTGCAAATCAAAATCTAACTTACGCAGTACTATCGTTAATATTTATGATTATACAATACTGCTTCTATTTCAATTGATACACTTCACACCAAAAATAACTGCAGGGGATTTTTTTTTGAAACTAAAAATAAAAAAAATATTTAGCACCACTAACTAGATCCTAAATTGTGTCATTCAATGACAACTTGCAAAATAAAACCACCACAGCACCATAATTTGATAACTAATTTTTTTTCCATATCTCGAAGAAAAAACAATAAAAACTGACATTAGGAATCGCCTATTAATCATAACATCACGGAAAGTGCTAAAATAAGATATAACGTGCATTTTATTTTTGCCTGATGGCGTATATTTAATAAATTATTCATTAATTGATAATTTCAATATTACTTTATAGAAAAAATCTCACCCATGTCAGTAAGTACCAGTAGCAGCAAAGAATCTAAGTTTTTGACTTTTCGTACTTTATTTATCGTACAAAATTTTAACATAAAAATATTTAATAACATAATATTCCATTTTTTTTGGTGTGAAGTGTACATTATAGAAACTAATATAAGAAAGTGTAATTTTACAATTAATCGGAGTTATAATTGGTCTCCTGCATCAATGGCTGCATATCTTCGCGCTTCTTTTCTCTATTCGGCACTCGTGTGACTCCATCCAATACACCAATTTCTGTTAACCTGCAAATTATATACAATAAAATGACTACAAAGCATCAATTTTACTTTGCTACTACTCCTAAGTGTCGTTAATTGGTCACTAAGTCAGAACCTCAGGACAGAATTTCCACTTAATCATCATTAAGATTTGTACATTTCAGATATTTCATTGTGAATAAATTCACAAACTAAATCTCTTAAACTCAGCCAAACAGAATAACAGTACCATACATAACATTTATTTTATTACAAATTAAGTAGCTCTTTAAAACAAAGCAGATACTAAGGAGTGGAATTCTATATTAATACTTCAAATTTAAAATAAACTAAGATACATACACTTCTGGTTCAACATCATCATAATTGGGTGTAAAGTAAGGATTAGCAGCGGCAGGTCTGAACTTATAACCAGTCATCACAAAGAACACGAACGTCGCAATCTCATGGAACATCTCATCAATCCAAGAGTATTGGAATGGCACTAAGATCTGAAAATATAAATACACTTATTAGAAACATGTTACATGACCACTGGGTTATATAACCATAGTAAGGCTATAGCCGATCCCAAGTGTGGAGTGGATTGATTGTCTTGAAATGTATCTTACTAATTAGTTAAATTATAAATGCGAATCTTTAGATGGATGGATGGATGTTTCAATGAAAGTATCTCCTGACCGGCTGCATGGATCTTGCTGAAATTTGGGATAGATGTAGAACATAGTTTAGAAGAACACATAGGCTACTTATTAAGTCCTTTTTCCATTCCGCACGAACGGAGTCACGGTCGACAGCTAGTCTTTAATATATATGCAGGCATGCACATAAAACATGATGTATATAACAGTCATTGTTTTAATTAGTCACTTGTCCAGTTTGCTTATCTTTTGTTCTATATTTACTGTTAACTGAAGTTAATGTTGACCCTTGGTGTATCTTAATATACACAGGAATGCAATGTATTTATACATAGTAAGGTTAAGTAAACCAATGTCTAGGTCACGGTTATCTTGGCTCTGTATGGAACATAAATGTAACTTTAGGTTTATAGATACGTTTATAACATTATTTTACTATCTTCATAATAATTACCTTAAGCAGTGAAACAACTATCCTTGTGAAGTATATGTAGCAGACGACCATTACATAGAAATGGCGGAACAACTTCAACTTGCGAAGATTTATAGCTGCTTTGCCATCTGTGGTGGAAGCGTCTTGCAAATGACGTATTGACCTAAAAGCGAGATTCCAATAAAAGCTTCAGACTTAAAATATAATTTTAAAATTATTTTAAACATGTCTTGTTGTTTCAAATTAATAAATATTCATTCTGTAGTTAAATTACTTATAATTTAAACAATACCAAATATGAAAGGCAATAGTATTGGAACAGGACAGGAAAGGGTTCGCTGAGCTGACGGCCAACCTCCAGTAATGAAGAGGCATTAGAAGAAGAAGAATAATATGAAACCACACTAAAAGTGCTTATATAACAATGGTTGCCCTGTATCGTGATTTTGTATGACTAACAATCCTGAGTGCAAACTTTAATCAGATATATCTGTAAGCAATAACAACCACTGCTATGTAACCTAAATAACATGTTGCACACTTAGTTTAGTACCTATAGCTGTAGAGTTTGCAGCACAAAAGTGAGAAGTGTTTGATGTCTCCGGATGCCTTTTTTGTGGTCAATTTCGCCTTTATTATCATAACATTACAATATAAGACAAGGTTTACTTATTCAAGAAGCAATAGCACATGTAATTGTATACTTTGAAGGGATTCTTTAGAAATATTTTTGATCTGTACCTCCCATGTTTGTTTAAATTATTCATAACTTAGAGTGACAACGATACGTAAGTATTGATAAGATGGCTATTGTAAATCACTTACCAGACAACAGGAAACAGTATGGCTCCGCAACAAAGCAGATCAACAAAAATGAAAAGATATCGCCATGTATTGTGCTCTGCAGCTCCCTCCTCACTCTCCGCTATTATTATTTCAGCCACATTCGCAACAACCTGTACAAACACACATATGTTAACATACACACATGAAAAAAGTGGCAAACAATCAATTGGGTACATGAATTCGCTAAAAAGGCGAATTAACTGTTGGTTAAAGATATCATTTGCAGATGCATTGCCTAACTTTAACCAACATAATAAAACTGTTACATAAGCTCATGTCCCCACTGAGGAGCTTGGAGCCAACTCTATGGGTTTTGTACCACATGCCAAATGAGCAAAGAGTAGCATGTAGCAAACGATCAAGTCATAACCTACACAGCCTTGTTATACTTGTGTTTGTTCATGATATTGTAGTTACCTTTCAATTTAGGATGAATGTTTAACTTGTGCAAAGTATAAAAACATATGTAAATAACAAATGCCTCCTTTTAGTTCTCACATCAAAGATATTAATGAATTGACATGAATGTTTTTAATTACAATAGCCTTGAAATGTTACAGAAACAAAAGTATATGCTATAAATATTATTAAAACACTTTACCTGCAATGGTATTACAATCATGAATAGCTTTTTGTCTCTATCAGCCAGTATATGCTTAATGAAATTCCAACCGGTGCCGACAAGGACAATTGTCACAAATAACACAGCACCCTTTAACCTAAAAGTATAATTATTAAATTAAATTAGAATACATTTCAATACATATCAATTTTTTAAGGGTTTAATGTACTTACAGATGTGTTATATAATACAATATTGCCCATGTTGTTACATGTTCACCTCTTGTTTGTATGAAATGATAGTTTATTGCATGGAAAGCTAAAGACAGCGCCTTAAGATATACTAGAACACACATAATAATGTGAATTCTATACACAGGGTGTCTGCTTGTCTTCAAGATAAACGTCCAAAAGCCAGCACTCAAAAAGAAAATTATTGACATCATGCTGTATAAAGCTGGTAAAGGCATTTCGCCGGCTGATAGGAAGTTTCCATCATTGCTCTCATATATTTCCAACTAAAATAAAAATAAAAATAGTTTTAAAGTTGAAAATATACATTTTATATAAACATAAGATAATCACTTACCATAACATTTATAGCAGGAGAATCTTCTTTTCCCGGACAATTATGAAAATATAAGTTGTACAGTCCTTCCTCATTGTCTGACGCCACATACATTGCAAACTATCAAAACGAAAAAAATAAGTAAAAATATTTGATATCAAACTTTACATATAATAATTGTTTACAATAATAACAAAGTATTCAAATTAATATATCTTGTTATGTAATTGTGTTACTTGTACTTACACTAGTATTGTAATAATCATATCCTCCATGCGTTTCTTTTGTTATTGGCAGTACAGAGTTGGAACACTGTGTTACATAGTTCTTATCACTTTGTTCAGCATCTGATTTACAAAAAAATAACAACTACAGATAAAGAAAATTTTATATTCCTAATATTTATTTAAATAACTAATGTTGTAAGTCTTTTAATTAAAAAAAACTAAGCATCAGACTTGGATTTGCTATGATTATTGAGCTATTTATAAAAGTGTTAACTAAACTAACATGTTGAGTGGATACATTCCCTGGTAGACTTGGGAAGAGGTAGATGGATTGTGTGAATGGGGTCATGATCAAGAAGGGAATGATGACTGAGATAATGTAAGTTACTTAAAAATGGAGGACAAAACATGATGCGCCAACCCTATAAGATAAGGATAAGATGACCATGTAGTTGATTTGCATGTGTTCTTGTTGCCAACAAATCTTACAAATATTCAAAATGCAAATGTATAAAGGATAGATGGATGTTAGTTTAAAGGTATCTCCAGAATAGGCACATGGATCTCATTGAAATTTGGCATGGATTTAGAACATAGCCAGGAAGAACTTAATTCCGGATGAATGTAGTTGTGGACAATGGAGAGTGTTAGTAACATTTTAAATGTTTATATAATATAATATTGATAAAAATTACCGCTTGGAATACTTCTTTTTCGATTAATAAACAAATATTGAGATTGTCTCTTGGTGCGATCTGTAGGTATTGCTGTCCGGTTTTGATATAGATGTAATGCTGTTATTTCACCCTTGCAAGAGATATTTAACCTAAAAATATATTTAGATGTATATAGCAAATAGTGTGATACCAGACATTATCCACATTTAGAAAAAGTAATAAACTATTACACAGCTATATGGCAATGCATGGTGGGTACAATCACTTATTTGTATAGCTTAACTTTTGCATCAATGCATCAACATATTTATCTGTTTATGCTGCATATTTTTGCTTAAAACAAGTATTTTAAACTTTCCATATATTTTTAGTAATATCTAAAGCATTTTATTGCAAATAACCTATAAATTTTTATACACCACAATATAGAATAACTTCTTGAAACACCATGTTGTTTTCCTGTTTCGGTTTTTTGTTGAACCATCATTACACATTTCTTGTAAATTACAAAAATATCAACACATATATGAATAACAACAACCATTACTTACCTTGAATTAACAAAATCCATTTTTAGAAAGACAATAGATGGATGTTTTGGTGATACAACACTATTGACACTCTCTTTGAGAAAACAAGTATCTGAATGTGCCTCCAAATATGGGTTAATAGCATCATTTGCAGTTCTATCCAATGTGAATCCATACTAATAAAAGGAAATTACACAAAATATATTTTAGAAAATATGGTACAAGACAAAAACAAACACGCCAGTTTTTAATACAAATCATTTTACCTCCCCTAAAATAGGTCCTGGCGGTAACTTAAAATTAAGCATGCGTACATCGAGAACTCCGCCTTGAAAAAACCCAAACGTCGTCAAATCCACATAATGGCGTTCATCATCCTGAAAACAGTTAGTCAATTTATTTTTGTATTTCAGATAAATAAATTGAAAATATCAACGATAGTTAAACAATAAAACTTTTATTATGTATTGAAAATAACTAGGATCAATTTTACAGTATATAAGACGTTTATTATCAATGGAAATTCCTAAGCTAAGCATTGAGTAACATTGGTATAACATGTTAATTGCATCCTTTACACCTATTCCCGATATTAATCTATTACCATTATAGAATAACATATTTAGCGCAATTTGTTAGTATTTAATAAAATGGCACAAACCAAAAGAGGCAATTTGTGTATTCTTCCCGTTACAATTATTGCAGTCAATAAAATTGTTATACAAACTATTTTCACAAAAAACATCATGTTTCATGACTACTCAGTAACAATAATAAACACCGAAATAACAATTAAAGTTATAAGAAAATGTGAAGTAAAATATTAATTTGGAGTAATTCGCCGACTTGATTTCTTTACAAAATATAAAACTCCTATAAATAAAATGAAATGGTTATAAAAGTCAATCGAGCAACCAAAAACCTAAGGAACATAGATTATAAATCCAAATTAATTCCAGTGGAGCTAGGTGTTGCCAGTCATGTCCAAAATTATTGATTTTTAAGTTTAAAATCCTCTGAATTAATGATCAGACTCTATTTCATAAAATCGAATAGGTTCGACTTTAAGGTCCGAGTTGGTCATTTGCCTCCTTATGTGGTCGTTTTGTAGAAGTTTGTTAATTTCAGCACGATATGGACAACCATTCATCCATGTATCAGATATTAGAAATTTTTAAAAATATTTATATTGGCAATTAACGTGAAACTCTAAAATTTGGATTTCATTTTATTATTTTTTTTATTTATGTTCTATATAAATGACAAATTTCATTATGATCCGTTCAGCCGTTTTGGAGATACCTTCAAAGATCCATCCATCTAAACAATCGCTTTATAATTTTAGTAAATTAGGTCCTTGGATGTATGGAGGCATAGATATCATATAACAGAGATATTAGATCAGTGTATGAAGGTGTCGGGTATCGGCACTCTCATGGCAGTGTGTTATATTTTTGTTCAGACAAAACCTAACATAATCATAACACGAAAACTTAAAACTATTCCTTGATTTTGCAAGTAAAATAAATCTTATTTTGAAACAAAATAGTTTTTTTTAAAAAAGGTAAATAATTAAAAAAATATGCAAGATTATAATTGCAACCATTTGCGATTGCAACACCTGCTTCCGTCACCGTCATCACTCACCTGAAGTCACGGCACGTCACGCTACGCCCTTGCTCTGTCATTTAATGTAAACAATGTTAGTTTTACTGAATATTAGTTTTCACGCGGAAACGGGCTCGAAATTCACAATCTTTTATTGAAAAATTTATTATAAGATTACTCATATATATAATATCCTATTGTCATTAACTTCATTCCATGAAAAGTTGGGAAAAGGTCAAAATTCAGTAAACTTTATAAATAAAGTAACACCAGTCTTCAAATCAATATTATTTATTTTTAATAAATATTCTATAATTCATGACAATTATATAACCTTAAGTATATAGTACAATTTCATTGAACAAATACATATTACAATAAATGCAAGAACTGGAAATGTAGTACAGTCCATTATTACATATATAATTATTAGTTTGGACATACATGAAAGATTATACATAAGGACTGAATTTTTAACTAACAAATTCAATACATACAGATTTTAACACTTCATGGCCCAGGCAAAAACAAAAATAAGACTGTTTATATGGTGCAAAACAATCAAAAAATAAATTTTAATGTGATACTTGGCCATTAGAATTGATATTGTTTAAGTCTATGTTATAGTTATACATATTATGAAAACAATATACATAAATAATAAACATAGATAAGTAATACATATATAAAATTGTCTTACATTCTAGTTATCTTTAACACCACACACACACATACACTGCTGGTTAAAAGTTGGATTATTACAATGTTACAGTAAAATAAATGCAATAAGGTGAGCTCTAGGTTTTGGCCTCATGGAAATATACAAAATGTTAGTCACTTTCCTTGGATTATTAAATAACTCGGTTTTGCTCACAACTAGGTATGCACAGATTTAAAAAGGTTTTTAAATTTATGTTAAATTTCAATATGATGTTTTAACTGTTGTGAAGTTATTGAGAAAAAAATTAGAATCAAATATATCCCACAGAACATTTCCAGGGCCATAAACCTATGTATTCTACATCTGTACCAAAATTTTACGAGATCTGTTTCGCCATTCTAGAGAAACCTTTTAACAAATATCCATCAATTCATTTATCCATCCATCCAAACAGTAGGTTTTTTGTTAGTAATAAGATGCGATGCTTTTAATTAAATGATAATTTAAATATATAATCATCCAAATATGGCATGTATATTACACACTTTTGATTACGTTTAAGTACTAATTTCTATTACCAATTTTTTTATAAGAAACATCTTGACTGTACTGGCTACTTTATTTGTCTGATATCTTGTTGTCAAAGAACTCAGACAAGTACAGTAGTCAATCAAATATATATAGGGTTATACTCACATTATATATTGATAAATATTTATGCATATATATGAAAATAAATAAGTGGTCAACATTATCATATTAAAGAAATTTAAAATAGTATATATTTTTAGCCGATATGAGTTTAGATATGATATAGATGAGATAGTTTTAAATTTCAACATTTTAGCCGATAGCAGTTTTCAGATATGTTGGCGGCTTTTAACTTTGACCGAGTCGCTGCGCAGAAAACTTGCCCATGATCTTGGGCTGCCAAGATATTTGAAAAGAATAATAACTTTGTAACTGACCACTTAGAGCTTAGTTTTGTAATAATGAAGATGGCAAAGAGCTGTTACATTTTGAGACAATTTAAAATAATTTTACTTTAATTTTATTTTGGAAAAAAGATAAAGTGATAGTAAATGATACTAAAGCCATTAGGGCTAGACACTATTGCAAGGTAATGTAATTTTATTTTTAAGTAAATACCCACACCAACTTATGTTTAGGTATTTTAAGCTTCAATTATTGAGTCCAGAATGTTTTTGAATTGTTGGTCCGGCAACGGTATGCAGTGGGTTCCATTCAATTCTTGCATGTGTTTCGAAATCTGTGGAAATTTTATAATAATTTGAAGTTATATATCCAAGTTAGCATTAGCCTATTAGTTGTTAGATTTGTTTAAGTTATAAATCATTTTATTCACTTACCAATTTCAAAATTTTACGGTCACTTTCTCCAATGTCTCTTTTTTCCAAGAGAGCCCGATGTGTACCAAAAAGACGGACATATTTGTCCACCAACAGCAATTCTTCATTTGTTAAGTTTGTATATCTGGTTTCGATCAGCTTTTTCACAAGATTATTGCCACGGTTTGTATGAATCAATCCTTGTCTGAAACAATACGTAAACTTCATATAAGAAAAAACAATGGATTATAAATGTAAATGAGAAAATTACTTTTTTTGAGCCCTATCTATGTAATACAAAAAAATATTGTTATTGTGTGCTACCTTAAGCAAATCACTTCGTCATTATTCCGTCGCACCAGACATATCGGTCCCTTGTAGTTTTCTAACATCTCAGATATATTTAAGTCGGCATAAGTACGGATGATTTCTTCAACAAGTATAGCCCATGATTGTGGCATTTGGTTCTGAGCAATTGGCAAAATGTCATCAAATGTCGCATCCAGCAGCTGTAACAAAGGGTTAATTACAGCGTTATATTATTAAAACATATCATATATGTATGATATTTTATGTATAAGCAATAGTAAATTAATAATTACCAAAGCTTTAACTTCGGGGTAGGTAGAAGCCGCATAAGCTGCAGTATAACCACCAATGCTCCAGCCAAAGAGGACAATGTCCTCAACCTTGAAGCCCAGTATATTTATAGCATACTGCATGACGGCATCAATTGCATTTTGTTCTTGAGATGGAAAAGGCTTGCCCTATAATAATAAAAATTCAGTATAACTAGAAAATTAGACAGCATTTTATTAACATGTTAAACAATAATTATGTTAATTATGTTAGCAGCAAGATTTTTACTTACCGTACTTTCAGCAAACCCTGGATGATTCCAACCCAACACAGAATAACCAGCTTTTATTGGAGAAAACATGACACCTATCTCATAAAATCCGGAGTTGCCTTCAGAACATACAACCAAAGTATTCCCTCTGTCTGTTTTCTCCCTTTTATCAACGAACATAGTGTCCAAAAAGTTTCCGTCGCAAGTCTGCAATTTCGCACGGAGTCCACCAAATGTCTCAACAAGTTGAGATCTGCCTATTAATAGGAATCTCCCTAAAAAGAATTAAAAAATAAATAAATAAGAATACAATTTGTAGAATAAATTAAATTGGTCCAATAATGTTTCAACTTACACAATGATGAAACGACAAGAGCAATTGTCCCTGGGTAGATAAGTCTCATTCCAAATGTGTGTACAACAACAAATGCCAACAGTTGAAGTGGAATCCTTTTATACGTAGGCAGTTCAGGGTGAGAGCATCGACTGAAAGGGTTGATCTCCAGCCAAGAACTGAATAACAAAATATATTTATAAATATGTATACAATTATAAATAAGTAATAAAACATGGATATAAAATCTTACGGATCCGAGGCTGTAATGCTGTACGAAACAGGCCAGTATTTGAATTCAAAATCATATTTTCTCAGGGATTGCATATAGCTTTCAGGGTCAAGAGTAGTATTAATGAAAATCCTCAGAAATCCGACATACTTGGGATTAGTCACCCTTCCAATAGCTCGTATTATAATTGACAACACCACAACCCAGGCAAATCCAGTTGCTACAGGAGTAAGAGTTTGTAACTTCTCAAAAGTGTAAAAGCCTTTTTGGTAAATATACATGCCAATGAATGGTGAAGCATAGTAGCTTAGACTTGTAAGAATATTTACCTGAAATAAAATAAAGTGATTCATATACATTTACACGTTGTAAGAGATTCACATACATGTTTCTCATAAATTAATAGACTTATAAATAAGTAGAGTGGGGTATAAAGTTAGATTAGTTAGGTAGGATAAAATTATTTACTTACAGTTTTGATAACTAAATCACCCCACTTTTCCATGCTATTAGGTTTATAAATGACCTGAAATAAATGTTATTATTTTATTTACATGTTAATTTTCTATGGAAACAGGAATGTTATTGGATATACAATAGGTATTTGATAAAGTTCGGCATAAAAGTGTTATACTAAAAGTATATACATCTCAAATGTCCATAAAAGAAAACTGCTCCATGGTGCTGCAACTACATTAGGTTTCTAGGTCTACATCTCGACAGACCAATAACATGATACCGACACATTAAAACAAAATGAGACGAACTCAACACGCATTATAAATACTATTTCTGCCTAGAGGTAACAACAGTAAATTGTCCAAGGACAATTCGTCGTCAAATCCTATACGCTCCTACCAAGGAACTAGGGGCCTATGCCATGTTATGATGACTAGGACTTAAACAACTATGTTAACCCAGGTTTACTTTACAGGTACTTTACAATTTATTTACAGAACTAGCTGTCGCCCGCGACTCCGTCCGTACAAAATTAAAAAAATCTTAATAAGTAGCCTATGTGTTCTTCCAGACTATGTATGTTCTATATCTATTCCAAATTTCAACGACATCCGTTGACCCGTTCCGAAGAAACCTTCAAACATCCATGCATCCATCCATCCATCCATCTAAACATTCGCATTTATAATATTAGTAAGATAAGATTTAAAAAAAACTGTGTGTCTTCCAGACTATGTTCTATATGTATGCCAAATATCATTAAAATCGTTATAGTTGTTCGGGAGATAACTTCAAACAAACATCCATCCATCCAAAATTTTGCATTTATAATATTAGTACGAAGTAAGATGAAGTACGAAGCAGGTGGCATCACGAAGTTACCTCCATCGTTAAAAATGTCGGGTATATGTACATATGAAATTCGAAAAACGCATTGGTACATGGCTGGGTTCCATCCCAGAACCTGCTAATTTCAAGGTAAGTGCTTAACCCCAAAGACACCAAGTTATTTTAAAAACCTTGGCGACTCGGAATATCATACAAGTACCTAGGCAGACATAATTTATGTGTAGCGGGGCTAAACGGGATGCGGGGGGAGGTGTACTACGCATCGCTCAACCCAAGGTCAGCTGCAAAAAAGATTAAAACGGACTGCACCTACAAAGTGATAAACAACATCGTCCGTTGTAAAAACAAATACGACGGAGGATATTGTTTATCACTTGGTATAGGTCAGTTTAAGTCAGCATCGTTGGCGCAGTTGTTAAGAATCTGACCAGACCGGACCGGACCGTAATCTACACATATAGATTGTACTCATCCATGTACCATACGATATATTTAAGAATATCATTTAGTTTACGTTAATTTAAAAAAGTATCAAATTTAAATAAGTTTCGAAAAAATCACATTAGGTAGTCTCCGAGTCCCTAATAAATGAAACACTAGCTGTCGCCCCCAACTCCGTCCGCGCGGAATTAAAAAAATCAATCGGTAGCCTATGAGTTCTTCCAGACTTTGTTCTTAATCAGTGTCAAATTACACGAAGATACGTTGAGCTGTTTTTTCAAATACGTAGTAACAAACATCCATTTATCTATACATCCATCTATCCATACTTCCATCCATCCATCTATACATTCGCATTTATAATATTAATAAGATCACTTCTCCAAAGTTAAATAGTGATACAGTATCAAAACTATTTAAAAAAAGGGAGACCTTATTAAAATATTGGCAAATGTTCTAGAACAAAGGAATATGACGCACGAAATTGCAATCTCAAAAGGTGTAGATGTACCTGGATGCAAGTGCGTAAAACCCCAACATTGATGTATGTATATGTTAATGTAACATAAAAACTGAGAAGTACGAAAATTTTCCATTAAATTCCATTATTTTCCGAACCTGTATTTCTACCTATTTTAAGACCTAGATCATGCGACTATGACGCACGAAAATGTACTCTCAAAAAGGTGTACCTGCACGTTTTATGCAAAATACCAAGACATTATATGTTCGTGTTAAAGCACGAACTGTGGAAAATTCTATGCATACCCTACCACGCCAAACCACTTCCCCTTCCCATTATTCCCTTATAAGGAAAGGGTGGGAAGGGAATGTGGATTAAACGCAAAATTGCTTCGACTTCAAGCGTTTTTCCTGTGTGGTCATGGTATTTCTTCGGTTCACCCGACCAATTCATGCACCCAACAGATATTGATGTGTGGTCTACCATTGTCAGTGGAATCTTCCACTGTCAAAACTAGGATACATTAATCTTCAAAAAGAATTAAAAACGTTTCATTTGATTAATATCTAATAAGAATCAAATTTGGTAGTCTTTGAACCGCCGGCAGTAAAATATATGAAACATCAATTCTTTAATGTTAAACAGTGACAAAGTTAAAAATACTTAAGAACAAAGGAATCATATAACGATATTGGAATACGTTCTAGAACATTCGATTATGACGCACGAAACTGTATGTTAAAAAAAAATGTTTTATGCATAAAGCACCGACATTGATATGTTGCTGTTACTGCGCAAACTCTGGAAAATCTTAAGATTTACTAACTAGTCATGATAAAGGTCCGAAAAGTTTTATAATCATAATACGTTTAGACCCTTTACCACCATTTACTTGGTATATCTGAAGATTTAGTTACTTTAAATACATAGTAAAAATCTGCACAGAGCAGGATCGCTTTTTTAAAAAACATAACTTTATCAAGTGTTTGCTCAAATTTACCGTGTATTCAATTTAATATAATAAAATAACGGATGAATGGTGGTAAGTTATCGAATTAAAACAAAGATCACATAACCATTCACACTTTTAGCACAACTAGTTGGTAAATCAGGGGTTTTACCAATAAATACTTGGCTTCAACGTAATTCAAGCCTATATCTTTACCATATGTGTTATATATATTTAGATAAGGCAACTAATGGACCATTTTAAATAAAATTTGGTACACGGTCAGACCAGAGCCTGAGAAAATACATAGACATACTTTTTACCGCGAAAAAAGGGTTGTATGAGTCTGAAATGGGTGCTGGAAGTTGTATTTCTATGTAGTCATTTTCACAATTAGAATCTAGAAACGTACTTTTTAAGACTTTTAATTAAATATAAATAAATATGAAATTAAAAGTTTGTTAAAGTTTTAGCCTCAGAGGTGCAAAATAACAATAGTGAATAACAATTTGTATGGGCAGAATGTTTTTTTAGTTTATATGTTTTGTTGTGATGTTTTATTACTTTAACTAAAATGCTCTCAAAATCAGTATTTAACATAATCAAAGTAGCGGACCCAGCAACTTCTGGTTAATCGAAACAGCAAAGGTAAAACATTTAAAAATCTGAACTTCTAGATCCCTTCAAGACCACAAATATCTATTTTATATTAAGAATTTATTTAAACCCATAATAACATGTAAAATCATCTCGCGTTAAGTCGAACGTGTATTTGTTATGACAATTTGTAGTCAGAAATTATTAATTTTAGCCTTTATTTTCAAAAATGGTTAAAATGTCAAAAATTCGGTTTCCAGAGGTATCGGCTTCGTTATCGATTTTTTTCTGATTCTTATGTTAAATGTCTTTAGTGTCAGGATTATTGAATACAGTTGAAGGATATCTTAATTGCAAATATACTTACTTCACAGGGTCCATCTCTGTGCTTCCTGTACAAGCGTGGAGAAAAAAAACTGTATAAAAATAGCTTCAGCATATTGTTTTCTTTGTCGCTGTTTTCAAGTATTCTATTTTTATAATCAAATTATGTTTTCCAAAGGCAGCTTCCACCAAGCTTCCAGCTCTGCGAGTCGTATAATATATTTTTCCGTAAGTCACACCACTTTCAAAAAAATAAACACCGCACAGAAGTTCGAAACGTCCAAAACTGCGCCTCAGTTCTTGAGCACAGACAATGCAGCAACGAAAAATGTCTTTATATACATCGCACAGCTAGTGTTGTGCATCGTCTCTGATTCCCAACCGTTTCGAATTAAATTGACTTGAATCGTTTAGCTGCAGTTTAATAATTATTTTTTTAGTTCACTGATCAACCAATGCATTAACTTTGTAGCTCTGATAATATTAATATATTAAGTTTGATTGATTGAGTTACTTATGACTCTAGGGTAACTAAACTAAAACTAATGACCTACGGAATACCTAACAGTTTCTATGTATAAAGCAGCTTAGTGAACCGTTCCGCAACTCAGCTCAATTTGTACCTGCATAAAGTTATAAAATGCGGAGCTGCGAACTGCAAGTCATCTGGCAACTAGCAGTTCATGAGCACATAGTTGTCGTGATGAGCTGTGAGCAGTAAATTTATTTGTAACAGCACACCCCAACGGATCTTTATTATGTGTCCTTGAACTTCGTACCGTTCTAGAACTTGTTTCTACATGTCTACGTGATATCGACGTCGAGTTATCCTTATATAAGATTCTACAGTTTACAATGTAAGATGCACAGAATTGCACGTAATTGCATCAGCATTGTTTTTCTTAGTTGATAAGTATAAAGTCGCATATGTTAAAACAGTTATTACAATTATTTTGATCATAATCACGAAATTTTCGATTGCAAGTTCTATGAAAACTACCATCGAAAATCGAAAAAACTTTACTCAACCCAACTCTAGAGAATCGTCAAATGATTTGTCAAACTAATCATCCTTGATTATAATGTTTCTATTTAAGATTGATTAGATTCACATTTGACAAGTCACTAGAGATGGGTTGAGTAAAATCGGTTATGAATATTTTCAATTTTCGATGGTAGTTCTCATAGAACTTGCAATCGTAATTTTTTTGTGTTATTGTTTTTGAATTATAATATGAAAAAAATTGTTTCTTTTTATTCCTACCTTATTCTTTGTAACTACATAAGGAAATAAAACATCAAACCGAATATTGTGGTGTTGACAAACAAAAATAGTTTTTTTTTTGTGTAAAACTATAGTGTGTCTAAGTTTGATTACTTTGACAACGGACCCCTATCAAGTATGGAAATAATTTTGTATCGCGATTAATAATGTACTTAGTGGGTGGTTGTCGTATAGTCGACCATGCGCGCATAACAAACAATTATGAACTATCGAGAATCGGTTTTGTTATAAGATTAGTAGAACAAATAAGTATAGTATAATTTAGTTTAGGTATGTTATTACTTTTTAAATTGATTACAGTTAAATATCTATTAACTGAAAAACAATACAAATATAAATTAAATAAAATATTTTCTTTGTCACCACCACAAGTCTTGGTTTAACGTTTTATTTCTATATTTATACTGTAGTTATAAAGAATAAGGTAAGATTCAATTATATTTTAAATTAAAAACAATACACATCAAATTTTCAATTGTAAGTTCTATAAGAACAATCATCGAAAATTTTCATAACGGATTGTATTCAAATATCTCCAATGAATTGGTAAATTAATTGTCAAACTAATCTATCTTAAATAGACACGCTATAATCTACCTTAAATAGGCACAATATTATTATTCTACTACAAACACAGACCTCTACAAATAGACCGGCTAAAAGGCCAAATACTTTGCGCCTATTTGATTATCGCCATTTTGGCGAAGACGGTAGTGGTTTGTGGCGGTGGTGTGGATTCAAACTAACAATATAGATAGAATTATCTGTCGTCAAACATAAACAAGGGCATTTCAATTGGACGAAATAAAAACCTATCATTTCGTAGCAGAGGCCTATCCATTTTTAAAGATCAGTAACTACAACGCAGAGTGTAGTATCATTTAAATACTCTTTGGTAAGTATAAGATATTTCTATACTCTATGTTAGCTTATTCCTGACATTGACATTGGCTAACATTTTTACCTAAAATATTACAGGTGAGTAAAATTATTTTGTTTCTTATTTGATAAAGTTAAATTATTATTGAAAGGCATATGTTCTAGGTATATACTTTTTTTTTCCGTTTTATTAAACATCCCATCACCACAAAGAACAACCTGTATATTATAATATTTGCCTCTAATTGTGATAAGTAAATAAAATTGAGGTAAAAAATTTAAAGTATAAAATATTTAAAGCATAAAATTTAATAATTTGCCAAATTTAATAATACCTCAATTAGTTTTATAGAATTTTGAAGTAAAAATTTATAAAAATCTGATTTTATGTTATGCAATACTTTTAGTACCTTGTCTTAGTCTGCACTTAACATTTCACTAGAAATGTTCTATAAAACTTTATGAAAAAAAGTTGGATTGGAAGACAAGTAATGTTCAACAAGTGTTTATGATTGTTGCATATACAACTTTTAATACTCAATTGTTTACACTTTACAGACTATGTCACAAATCACTGATTTATTGGGAGTAATAAAGGGTCTTCGGCAAGTAGTTGAAGCAGGTATTAAATTACAGCAGGAAAATTCTAGATTAATATGGAATAATTCTAGTATTAGACCATTTTTACAGAACTGCCCTACTAATGCAATTAAAAATTACAAGACAAATGAAGTGGCTCCAAAAGATATACTTGATCGAGTGTATGTTGTGGTACATGGTTTTAGAAAGTATGCCACCATGCATGTTCCTCTTGTCAGTACTAGTGTAGAAAGTAAAGCTGCTGTGGATGAAGAGTTGAAAGATGAGATAGAGGAGTTGAATAAAGAATTTGATAAGACATTTGAAATATTGAATAAGGCAAAAGATATGCAAGCATCATCTACTGAACCGAGGAATGAAATTGAATTTGAAGTACCTTTAGAGAAAATCCAGATGGAAAGTGTAGTAAAAACATCTTTACAAGGTACAAAAATTGAGCACAAACAACAAGAGCAACAAGTTAACCATCCCTCTTATGAGGAATCTACAAGTAGAAATGTCATCCCAAAGCCAGTTGCAAAAAAGAAGCCTAAAGTTATGGTATGTATTATTCTCTATTCCTTAGATTACTATTTTACTACTGGGTAAAGAGACTTGAAATTTTGTAAAGAGGTTTCTGTTATTACAAATGTGAGCACTAAGAAAGGATACTGTGAAATTCATTACCTAAAGTTTCTATGGAGCAATGTTATTCCTTCATATATGTTATTTCTATAAGTGTTCATGTCTTTTTTCAAATTTATCCTTTAGACCTAAACTTTTAAATTTCATGTTGACAAATTCCAGGGAAGCAGCTAGTTTTGTGCAATTTCATAGCTCAGTAAAGTAATTTTGAGCATATTCATTTTCTATATAATAAAAAATTGGGGTTTGTTAAGTTGTATACTGATACTCTTGAAAATTAAATTATGACTATTATTAATATTACAGCTGAGTTCAAACTCCAAGGAGCGCGTAGTGCCGTCCTCGCGTATTGGAAGAATGTTTTCATTTGGTTCGTTAGCAGCTGGGTTAGGAGTTGGGACTGTGGCACAGTATGCCAGGAATACAATACAGTCTGTTACTGGAAAGGTTGATGAGTCCAGTAATGCTTTCTTGTCACCAGCCAATGCAGAGAGAATTGTTGATACATTATGTAAGGTTAGAGGTAAGTAACAATTACATATTGTTTTAGAATCTTACTAATATTATAAACTGGCATTCTCTCAGAACACTGTATATGCAGAATTAAACATATTGATCAGTAGTAGCCTAAGTGTTCTTCCAGACTATGTTCTATACTTATGCTAAATTTCAGCAAGATTCGTTCAGCTGTTCTGGAGATATGTGATAGCAAACATCCATTCATCCATCCATGTAAAATTTCGCCTTTATAATATTAGTAAGATGTTTATATGCACAATTGTTACAAGTACCTGTGATTTGGTACTGTGAACTGCATATAATACTATGGAAGATATAATTTTATAGCCTTATATTTTGGTTATAGGCGCAGCTTTAAAGTTAGGACAATTATTAAGTATTCAAGACGAAACCGTAATATCTCCTGAATTCCAAAAAATCTTTGAGCGCGTCAGGCAGAGTGCGGATTTCATGCCCAGTTGGCAAGTTGAGAAAGTAATGAGTTCCCAATTGGGTCCCGATTGGCGTGATCGTGTGCAACACTTTGAAGACAAGCCATTTGCTGCTGCATCTATTGGTAAGCTAATTTCAATATTACCTCCTCAACTAAATGCCTCATTATTATGTAATTGTAAAATAATGTGATTAGAAACTTGATTTGTTTTTAATGTGATAATCAATTAAAATTCTCTTTTATTCATACCTGATTGGGCTCTAATGCAATATTTTATTCCATATTATAATACATGAATATATGTGACACATAATTTATTTTAAAACTTCCATAAATTTTATTGTTCTTATTTATTGTTGTTTTTTAAAATGTAATAAGGAAGTATTTAGTAATAATTATTTAGTTAATAATTTATTCCTACTAGTAGGGTTGGTTGTAAAAAATTAAGCCAAGACAGGAAAGTTTATAAAACCTTATCTGTAGACTTCATTTGAGATGATGATCCATACATTCAACATCAGCTTACTATACATGCTCACTGAGGGGCTTGGAACCTAGGGTAGGGCTTGAGTAGTTAGGGGTGACTAAGCCATAGTCAACCATGCTGCCCAGTACAGTTTGGTTATCTTCTCATACATCTTTGAATCTATTCTCAGATATGTGCATTTTGCATCAGAATGTTTTCTTTCACCATAATCATTATACAAACTATTTTTAAATGGTTTATGTTTATGTTTTAAGGGCAAGTCCACTTAGCTGTTCTTCACAATGGTCAAGAAGTAGCAATGAAGGTGCAGTATCCAGGCGTAGCTAAGGGCATAAATAGTGATATTGACAATTTGGTTGGTGTCCTAAAAGTGTGGAATGTCTTTCCGAAGGGAATGTTCATTGATAACATAGTCGAAGTTGCTAAGAAGGAATTGTCTTGGGAAGTAGATTATGTTCGGGAGGCGGAATGTACAAAGAAGTTTAAACAACTCCTTGCAC